TCAAGATCTAAGAAGAAGATACAACAGACAAATGGACTTCCTCATCCTGAGAACTGTGATTGATTTTACCTGATCTGACAAGACAAACAGCATGTTTTATAATTATTGCTTCCATGCTTTGTATACCCTGTTCCTTAGAGTAAATTTTTTACTACCCCTCACCCTCCTTACTTCCTAAACCTCCCTCAATAAATACATGTTTTAATAGCCACGGCGCGGCAGCCTGGAGCTGGCTGTGGCTGTGGCTGGCTGAGAACATGCTAAGGAGCAATGAGGTCTCAGTCTAATTTTTGTTTCTGATCACCCACGTTGCCTTCCTGTGTATGAGCCACCCACCACTGCCGAGGCCGGACCCTGGCAAGCAGCGGGGGCCAACACTGAGCTGCCAATAGCATTGTTCCAGATACCTGGCTGGTTACACTGGCCTGCCCCATCATGGACAGGCAGCATCTTGTTCTTACTGGAGTAGACACTTAACCTGGATATGGACTTGTCGTTCCGGCACATGGAGCTTCTGCTGTAACTCCCATCTGTGAACGCACAGCGAATCCTACCCACAGTCACAGTATTCCACACGATGTTGTTTCTGACCAAAAAATGCACTTCACAGCCAAAGCAGTGTGACAATAGGCTCATGACATGGAAATCTTGGTCTTACCACATTCCCCATCATCCTAAAGCAGCCAATTCTGTAGAACAGTGACATGGTCTTTAGAAGTCACAGTTGCAGTGCCAGCTAAACAACTCTACAGTGCTGAGGTGGGGTGCTCCGGAATACTGTGTATGCTCTAAAACACCCACTGCTGTTTTCCCCAGAGAGAGCTCTCATGGGTCTAGGAACTGAGGGGTGAAATGGGAGTAGCATCACTTATTATTAGTCTTTTTGATCCACTAGTGAAACTTTAAATTCCTGTTCCTATAACTTCATGTTTTGCTAGCCTAGAGGTTTTAGTTCCAGAGAGAAGTGCTTCCACCAGAAGACACAATGATGATTTGAGAAAATTCTCACTTGACCACTTTGGGCTCCTTATGCCCCAAATTGACAGGCAAAGGAGTCAAAGTGCTGACAGGGGTGATTAATCCAGGGTACCAAGAGGAAACTGGGCTACTACTCCATGGCAGACTTTAGGTGTTCTATGTCTGGCACACAGGAGACCCTTAGGGTGTCTCTTAGTACTGCCATGCCCTGTGACTAAGGGCAGTGGGAAATGACAACAATCCAATCAGGCAAAACTATGAATTGTGTCTGGATCACCCTGTCAGGTAAGGAACCATGTCCAGTTGAGGTATTTGCTAAAAGTAAAGGGAATATGGAGTTACTGGTAGAAGAAAACAGTTATAGGTCATGGGATATCAGAAGAGTAAACACCACCAAGAACTTTGCCTTCTTTTCTGGAAAGGGACTAGTGCATTTTTGGTTATACACAGGATGGATGTATGATGTTAGATGAAACTATTATTTTATTTCATAAATTAAGTTTAAGATGTGTATAGATGCCCCAACTGACAAGGGATGATCTTGTGATGGTCAGCTGTCCCGACCCTCAGGACAGTCGAACAGTTTCCTGAGGGAGGGAGTGAGAGAACGGACAGACACACACAGACACACAGAGTGGAGACAAGACGAGGTGCTGATCAAGTCTCTTTTATTAAGGAAGAATCGTGAGCTTATATACAGGCTGGTGGGCACCGATTGGTTGCCTGAAATGCAAATGAGATAGAATAGTATGAGCCAATCATTGATGTGGGTGGATCTCTCCCATTGCTTAGAAACCCAACCGCCCTAGGAGAGAATGGTTGGTCACATGATTTCTGAGAAAAGTTTGCTCAATGAGGAAGTGAAACCTAACGGTTTCTAAGATGGTGGACAGCTCTCAAGATGGTGGAGCTCTCAAGATGGCTTTCATATGCAATGCCCTCCAGAGTTAGCTTTGAGTGTCACCTTGACTAGACTAAGGATTATCTAGAAACATGATAAAGCATTATTCTGAGTGTCTGTGTGGGTGTTTCCAGATGAGATTAACATGTAAGACTTACATGGGTAGGAAGATCCACTCTTAATGTGAGCAGGTCCAGGGCAATCAACAAGAGGCCCAGAAAAAATAAATACAGAGGACAAGGTCAGCCTCATGGTCTAGTGGTCAAGGTAGTCTGAGCTCACATGACTGAACATACAGTCAGTCTCAGACCCAGCACCTTCAGAAATGTACTGTGTGTATGTGTGTGTGTGCCCCAAATCCCAAAAGGATTTTGATAGAGATGGAGAAAGGATTGTGGTATGACTATTTCCCATGGAGGGAGTAGCTTTCTCCTCTCCCTCTCCATCTCTCTTTGGTGAGCACACATATCCACTAACCAAAACCAAAACCAGAACCAGAAGATAGGTCTTTCTTTCTTTTTTTTTTTTAAGAGAGATTTTTGCTGTAGGGTGTGGGCCCTTGCCAGAGAGACAGAAAGCAAATCACTCCCACCCTGGGGAGATGGCCATGCTGCAATCCTTTCTCCTCCATTCTCCTCTTGGGATTTTGGGTAAGCACACACATACATGCCTGGTGCAGGTTTAAGCCACCAGGTCTGAGACTTAAATTGCAGTTGACCATGTGGGAGTCCAGCAAAGTAACCATTACCCCACCTGCTGGTCCTCAGATAGGTCTCCATTTCTTTTTTGGGTGGGAGAGGTTTTTGCTATAGGGTGCGTGTGCTCGCCAGAAAGACAGAGAGACAGAAAGTGAGAAATCACCCCCTGGGGGGATAGCTACACTGCAATCCCTTCTCCTCCATTCTCCTCTCGAGATCTTGGGCACGTACACACATGCACCTGGTGTGAGTTTAAGCCACTGGGTCTGGGACTCGAACCACGGTTGACTACATGAGAGTCCAGCGACATAGCCATTACACTAACTGCTGGTCTCCCCCAGATAGGTCTCCTTTGAGAAGGCAGGAGAGACGTCTGTTGTCTTGCATATTAGAACTCAAGTCTCACCTGCCTTCATACCCCAGGATTCACACCAGCAGCCCCCAGGGTTTTCAGGCTTTGGGCCTTGGACGATGAGTTACACCATTGACTTCCCTACCTTTGAGGCCTTTGTATTTGGTCTGAACCACGCTACCAGCATCCTAGGGTCTCTAGCTTGCAGATAGGCTGTGGTAGGACTTCTCAGCCACCATAATCAATCATAATGTTGATTCCCCCAGTAAATCCCCTCTCATATACCCATACATATCCTATTGGTTCTGTTTCTCTGGGGAACACTGATTTATATATTCATGTAGAAAACAAAACAGCAAGGGGCCAGCCAGTGGTGTGGGTAAGGCAGGTGGATCTGATCTGGCCGACTGCATGATTTTAGTTCCTGACCTGGCAGCTTAAGAAACACACCGGGCACATGTGCGTTCATGCCCAAAATCCTAAAAGGAGAAATGGAGACAAGATCACAACATGGCCATCCCTTATGGAAGATACTCTCTCACTTTCTCTCTCTCTCTCTGTTTCTTTCTGACAAGCACATGTGCCCTCTAGCAAATTTTTTAAAAGGAAAGAAACAAAGAAGAGAAAACATCAATCATAGTTATTAAAACCCTGAAATGTAAAGTCAATGTGGTTGGATAGTTCTAAAAGAGACTCACATATTAGTGTTAGACTATATTGGACTGAGAAAGCCGCTGTACCTCTGCTTCAGTTTCCATAAGGAAACTATAACCTCACATGAAAATCTGCTTCCTTAGTAAGTTGCTAAATTCCAGCCAATCATAGCAGCTTCACTTTTAGTCAGTCACAGACAGCCTACCTTTTAAACTGTGTTAATGCATGGGGACCAGCAGGTGGCATGGTGGTTGAAGCAGTGGACACTCCCCACATGCCCAACCACAGTTCACCCCCACCCCCACCCCCAACCTGTGCCTGCCTTCTCACTTTCCCATCTCTCTCACTCCCTCTCTTTGTATCTCTCTGGTCAAATTAAAATAAATAAAATTAAATAAATCTTTAAAAACCTGTGTAAATGCAGACAAACATCAAGAGCTAAACCAATCCAATTATTTCTCTAACTCATTCCCTTACTTCAGTTTTTGTAGTCACTTTCCCTTTCCTGCACATAAATACCCCTCGCCTACCATGCTACCCAGAGTCTCTTGGAAACCATTTCTGGGTTCCCAATTAGAACTGTGCTTCTGCTCAATTAAATTCCACTAACTTGACTTAATATTTTTAAATATTATGAATCCTCCAGAATAAAACAATGTGTTGTTATCACCTGACTAAGGAAACAAATTCAAAGAAAAAAAATCTAGATATTGACCCAAATGCAAATGTACATGAAGACAGCATATTTTACGGCTAAAACCTTAATTCAATGGTAAAAGACTGACTTAGGAAATTGACATAAACTTGGGGAAAGTTAAAATTGGGTATGTGTTCTATATTCCTGGACACAATTAAAATAATTGAGAGATCTAAATGTGAAACATAAAACCACAAAATGGGGAAAATTGAGTTTATTTTCCCGACTATGACTCAAAATGCAGTTAGTAGAAATTCACATAAACTACATAGGAATTAAACAATTTGCACAGAAAAGAGTTATATAACCAAGGTCAAAAAACAAAGTGAAAAAATTTACATGCAGTATAAAAATGAGCCAGTCCTGCTGTATGCACAGGGCTTCTATAAATAAAGAAACTGAGCTAGGAGCTGAGCACACTTAGCGGAGCAGAGCTCTTGAGGACTGCAGGCACTGTAGTCCCAGGCGCACGCGACACTGGAGGGTTCGGGAGCGCCGGCCACTAAAGGGACTTGCCCTGAATTCTGGGTACTGCAGTCCAGGAAAGGGGAGCCACGCCAAGGATTCTGGACGCCGTAGTCCTGGGGCCACACCTGCGGTCCGAGACAGCCTAGTTCCAGGCGGGCGACATCACTGGACATGAGGGGAAGCCTGTCGAGGGTACCTACTGAAGAGGCCGGGTAGCCTCCAGAGTGAGCGTGGTGCCAAGGACCCTGGGTCCTAGTTACCCGGGACCCCAGCCGTGTATGTACTACTCCTCGAGGCTTCCGGGTACTTCAGTCCAGAGACCGGACACAATGCCAAGGACACTGCGTAGAGAAGTCCCTCGTGAGCGGCTTTACTGTTGATTCTGCGCAGGACGTCGGTGACTCGCCGAAGACTCTGGGTAGTGTGGCCCGGGTGAGCAGCTTTCCAGTTTCGGACAGTCCAACTACAGGAATTCCCCGAGGACGGCGGCGCTGCCGATCAGCGAGGGGACGCCGCGCGGAGCACGCTGGGAGTCGTAGTCCCCGGCCCGCGGAGCACTCGGTACCGCGGAGCGTACTGGGTGCAAGCGTTCTGGGTCCTTGCCTCCGCGAGCGAAGGCGCCAGGCTGGTCTGGGTCCATTCTGGTGATTCCGTCGTCCACCTTTGGCGTCAGACGCCCGGTTGAGTTAGGCCCCTGCGAGTCCATCTCCCCAGCAAGCTGTTCTCGCAGGAACGGAGGACGAGGGTAACTCCGCCAGGGCCGCTGGGAAGGGCAGGGCTGCTCCTCTTGGGGTGGAAAGGGAGCCGGCGGGTTCCAGGAGCTGTCCTCGTTCGCGCGCCCGTCTGTCCCGAGGCGGCTCCGGCGGTCTGGGCGTTCCCCTATGCACTGGTTGTAATGTCTTTATTGTGGAAAAATCATAAAGGAGAACGCAGAATTAGACCTATTAGATTAATTGCATCATCTTGCACCACCCACATCCAACGCGGGCAAGCACCTGTGCTGCCTGCACTGAGCATCGTCACAGCCGCACCTGCTGGTTAAAGAGCCTGGCCCTTTACGAGGAGAATGAGACCCAGGCTCTGGCGCTGTCTGGCTGTGCCACTTTGAGAAATATATTTATTATAAAAGTTCTATGCATCGGTTTTCTTGTGTGAAATAGTAAATTAGTGAATTTAGTAAACCCTACAGTCAAAGTGTAACTTTAATGTTGCAAATATTAAAGTTTATTTAATATTAATAAAGATTATTAAATATTAATATTAAAAACAAAGCTGTGTACAACTCTTGGAATAGCTAAGCAAAATAAATATCTTTTTAAATGTGAAAAGAAAAAGAAAGAAATAGGTGAATAAAATAGCTCCTTCATAGAGCCACTGCGAGGACTGAGGTAAAGCTTGTACCAACTGTTTCCGGTATATGCGCATTGCTGAATGAGTGTTACTGATATTAAAACCTCCTTATTCTAGAGATGCAAGATAAACTTTCTGTTCATTGTCATCCCCATGAGGGGATGGGCCAGGCTGTGAGGCCCACACTCAGGACCTGTTCCCAGGAAGCTGCCCACTGCTCTGCAGGATTTCTGGTACTTTTTCTTTTTGTAAACAGTGGGGACCCTACCCTGACCATAGGAATTTCTAAGGACAGATCTGAGGATCACACCCTTTTATAGTCTCTAGTTCTGCTTCTCCCAATCCCCTGTCCACCCCAGAGAAGACTTTGCAGGGGGAAGGGAGGGCAGCCCAACGGCAGGTGGGAACTCCTTGCCTGTGCCTTTCTGCAGTGCCTTCTCTGCTTCACACTGTGGTAGTTTTGAGAAAGAAAACCATTTCAAAATAGTCTGAGGAATGAGATCTGCTGAAACCTTACCTGGCTGGGAGAGCTATGTCATGGAGTCACAGTTATGTCCCTGCATGCTGAAGTGATTGCTCGTGGTGTAGTGTGACAGATGGTTCCTTGATTGGCTGGCAGGGCAGACGTTCCCACAGACCACATGCTGTTGTTCATTGCAACCCTGTCTTCCTGCCGGAATGCTATGGGCCGTGTGGTGTGGAAGACACAGGAAGGCACGCCGGGAATGTGTGCTGTGTAAACTGATGTAGGGCTTGGAGGGGAGTGGGCTTTTGTGGCCCTTCTTTTCCTTTTTTGCTGTATGGCATAACCCTTTTGAAGACCATTTTGATGGATGTGGTTTCCAGGCAGTTGGAGCCTGTGTCCACCTGGGAGGCTGTCCACAGGGACTCTCTGATGAACTCTCAGCTGGTGCATTTGCCTCAGTTTCTTTTCTCAGGTCAGCAGTTTCCTCTGTGTCTGGTCAGTGTGTTCAGCCCACAGGGGTGTACTTGGCAGGGTGCTGCTCCACCCGGGACCTCCCCTAAGCTGCACCAGGTCTCCTGGGCATCAGCTCCAGGGTAGGAGCAGTTTTCTCCTCTCTGCCAGTACCCTTCCCCCCTGGGTTTTCTTCTCGGCCTGGGTTGAGAACGATGTAGTGCCCTACACAGAGCTGCACAGGAATCAGGCCTTCACTGTGGGGAGACATGCATTTGGCACCCTGACTTCTCTTTCTTACAGGTCAGCCCCTGCAGCCTTCCCTTCTCCATGGACAACAGAAAAATGGCCATGGAACCCCAGAGAGCCAGGAGAGAGGTGAGAATTCTCAGAATCTTGCTGTTGCAGGATGGGTCTATTCCCTTCACTGACCCTGGCAGCTGCAGGGTCAGTACAGGGCAGAGGCCAGCACCATCCTGATGAAGTGATCCCTCTCACCTGACACCCTCCCTGAGGGTTTCTCACGCATCAGATGGACACTACACAGGGCCAGCTGAGAGCAGAATATAGAGATTTCCTTGTCCTGGTGGTGTTGGTGGTGATTATTAAGTCAGTGTCAGTGCAGGGTCGGGGCACAGAGGTTTCCAGGAGGGGGCTCTGGCAGTCCTTGAGGGATGTGGCGAGTGCAGGAGGGGCAGGGATGGGGTGTGGCATCTGAAGCTGGAGGTGCTCAGCAGCTGCTGTCCTCAGGGAGGCAGAGCTGAGCTGAGGGCCATGAGCAGCTGATGCCAAAATGTGATGAAACAGGCTTGAGTTATGTCAGGGGAGGCCCAGAGAGAACAGGGATGCCAGAGAGCACCCTCATACCTGAGTGAAGGAGGCAAAGAGAACTGGGTGGATTCAATGAGGCAAGTGCAGCCACAGGAGGGCACTGGGCCAGCAGAGGCATTAGGACACAGGTCACGAGAGCAGCACCTGGTTCCCAGGATGGAGGGGCTGGCCTCGGTGTCCCTGCAACATAGTCACTGCCTAGACTAGCTGAGGAGAGTCTGGCCTGGATGTCATACAGTGGCATGTGCTCACATTGCCTCCCAGCTCAGAAGCCACCAGGAAACCATTTGCACTATGAAAGGGCCAAGTCGGAGGGTACTGGGCATTGGGGTGAGCACACGGCATGGCTGCTGTCTGCTGGGGCTGCCAGCATCGCAGTGGAGCCTGCGCCTCACCTGATCGGCTGCATTTCTGCTAGGCAAGGCTTGCCCTGTGCCGAGCCTGCACTGTCGGTGCCTCTGGTGCCCAGCTCACCAGCGTCCCCGCAGGGTGGGGCAGCACTGTCTTCAGCCTCAGAGCTCTGCTGCTTCAGGCCTCTCATGGAGTTCGTGACTGCAGAGATGGCTCCCTCCCACCTCCTCACTTGCCATGTCACCTGTCAGTTCCTGAAGGCTCTCTTCTGGTCTCTGAGTCACATTGTGAAGGGGCCTGTGGGCCGCCTCAGGGGCCCCACTTGGTTTACAAGCCCCTAAGTTTTGAGGGTTCTCACAGTGGGTGTGACATGATGTACCCCTACCTTGGGAGAAATAAGGACTGTCAGGGCCCAAGGGAGGGCTTCTGTCTATGCATCTCCTGTCTGATGAACTCACTGAATGGAACTGATTGTCCTCAAGCTCCTGCAGGGCTGCCAGGTGGTCTCCTTGACTACAGAGAAGATGCCCTCTCCTTCCAGTGGGCTCCAGTGACTATTCCAGACATGTCCTGACTGGCCGTGGACACATCCAGTGTTATTTTTGGCATGTAAACAGATCTGGACTGGATGTCAGTTCTGGACACCTGTGCTAAAAACTCATGACACAGAAATGCAGGGGTAATCAGGTCCAGCACTCACAGCAGGACATGGATTCTTGTCTCACACTCATGAAAGATTAAAGATGTGGACTCGCAGAGAGGGTATTACAAGGTGGGGAGTGCAGGGTGGGAGTGTGGTGGTCGGGGGCTGGAATTCTCAGCTCCCTGTTGCAGGCCTACCTCCAGGTGAGCGGGTGGCTTTGTGTTACAGACTCCCATGGCATTTGGGGATGTGACTGTGGATTTTACCCAGGAGGAGTGGGGGCTGCTGAGCCCTGGGCAGAGGACCCTGTATAGGGAGGTGACACTGGAAAACTACAGCCTCCTGGTCTCCCTAGGTGAGTGTGGCCTCTCTGGCCTGGTGCTTGCCTGCTGTGCACCCAGCTTGGCCTTCAGGTGAGGTGCCCCCAGGGAAGGTCAGGTTTGGTGGTTTTATCCTGGTTGTCACTGGGCTCTCCCCAGCTGTCCTCCTAGGCTGGTCCTCTCTCCGTGTCCTGGTGGTTACTGGGCCTCTCTCCGGCCCTCCTCCTAGGCTGGTTCTCTCACCATGCAGGCTGAGCCCATCTTTCTTCCTTTCTGAGCTGAGACCCCCTCCCTTCACCCCAATTTGGCTCTGTCAAACTGCCTCTGGGTCTTAACTGCCCAGGATCATCCC